TAAAATTTCTTTACATCTTTACAAGCATATAGTCTATATCCAGACTCAGGTAAGAGTGGTCGCCTCTGGGGAGGACTGAGTGGAGGGAGAGCAAGGATGGAGTACTTGCTTTTTCATACAGCAAAGGGGTAGGTACTTTTGCATTTTGCATCATGTGCATGGTAACCTACTCAAAATCATTTTTTTGAAGCACTGAGCTGGCTCCAAAGGAGAGGAGCCCTTCTCCCTGGAAATGTTCAGAAAGCCATGGCCGTAAGGTCCCTGCCAGGCACACTGCAGAGGGGATTTAGACAAGCAGGTGAGGGGCCAGACCAGCTGACCCCAAGATCCTTCTAACTCTGAGGCTTTATGATTCTTTCAATGAAGTGCAAGAAAGAAGGAAGCAAGTGAGAATACAGGTTAAAACTCGTTCATTGATGTGTCATTTAGGAAATACTTTTAAACGCCTCCTATTGGCCATGCTCTCTGCTGGGCACCAGAGGCCTGAGCAAGACAACAGTGGCCCCTGCTTTCAGAAAGTGTACGGTTTACCCAAGATACAGTTTGGGTACACAAATCCCAGTCTGAGACCTTTTCATGCCTCCTTCCTCTTCCAGAAAACCAAAGAAACTCCTGCCCTGCTTCATTCTACCCACCTTGGGCATCTGATGGTTCCTAGTCCACACCAGGCTCTCTACTGCCTGGTGCTTACGGTGTCCTCCACAGGGAAGACTGAGTGGCTGGTTCTTCCCATCTTTCAGGTATCAGCTTAAGTCAGGTCCTCAGAGAGGCCATCCTTTACCTCACTCCTCTATAATTTCCTTTCATTAACACCCTGTTTATTTCCTGCATGGCACTTATCACAGCTGTAATTATTTTGTTTTCATTTGCTTATTTTGCTTATTGTCTGTCTCCTCTAAGATACCATCTCTGTCTTATTCACTATTATGTCTATAACACCTATCAGATGTCTATACGTAGATAGGAACTCAATAAATATTGGTTGAATTACAAACCAATGTTGATTACACATTGCACATAAACCTTCTCTGGGGCAACATCACAAACATTCCCAGAGCTGGAATACCCAGCCTTGTACCCACGATGCCACTTAGCAGCCACTTATTTCACCTTGGCTTCACCTTCACATCTGAGCCTTCAGCAACTACATCTTCAAAGGACACAGAAGCTCTCCTTTGCTAACCTCAGTGCAGTGCGAATTCAGATAAAAGCACAGAGGTGGGAAGAGGGAGGCAGTTTAAAAAATATAATTACAATAAAATGAAGAAGAAAATGTCAAAACAAAATGGAAATCATCGCTGTTCATAATGTACTCTTTGCTTAATGGATGACAAATTATAGCAATAATTCTCAACATTTAATGGAAAACCGTCCCAGGATGAGAATCTGGTGTGAACAAAGTCATGGAAAGAAGCTCTCCTTTTTTGTTCCCAAGTTTGCCACTCTTTTCACAGTGATTTGCTTGAAATGAAACTTTGTAGATGAAGTAGCCCTTTTAAACAAGGAAGGAAACAAACCCAGGTTTCAGAGCACTCGCTCCAGCTGCGTCCTGGGAATTATGGTGCAGATAATGTGTATAAAGTGATATTGCCTTTAAATTTTCTTCCGAGACAATTGGCTTAGAGACACTATGAGCAGTCACAAAATGGAGCCCCATCCAGGGAACAACAAGTAGGACACAGAATACTCGAGATCACCTTGTACTGTATATCATTAATACCCCTCCTCCATGGATCATGCCCAATTATAAAGAATATTGTATTTTTCCACATGGCCTTCCTTCTCCCCTTCCCCTAGGATGGGCTCCCAAATAGACAAGCAGGGAATCTTCAAGAGACCCAGTGTGGGGGCCGGCCTGTGGCTTAGCGGTTAAGTGTGCGCGCTCCGCTGCTGTCGGCCCGGGGTTCAGATCCCGGGCGCGCACCAATGCACCGCTTGTCAGGCCATGCTGTGGCGGCGTCCCATATAAAGTAGAGGAAGATGGGCACGGATGTTAGCCCAGGGCCAGTCTTCCTCAGCAAAAAGAGGAGGAATTGGCGTCAGATGTTAGCTCAGGGCTGATCTTCCTCGCAAAAAGGAAAAAAAGAGCGAGAGCCAGTGTGGTTGGTCTCCTGAACACTGATGGGAGTGGGGAGCAGAGCTAAGCAGTGAAGCAATGTTTAAAGCAGAGGGGGTGGCAAGAAGTGGTCCTCTCTTTGACCAACTTTTCAGGTGCTCTTAGAATTGTGTAGAAATCACTCTGCTGCAGCCAGTCTAAGTCTCCTGACTCAACTCTTTGTTCTCAACATGCTGGAGGATAATAAAAATTTATAATAGCAGTAATATTAATACCTAAGTGCACTAATACCTAAGATTCACTAAGTGCATTTTTGTGCATTTGTTGGGGTTTTCCTGGTAACAGTATCCCAACAGTAAATTTAGGAAACTCTCTCTTCACTATTGTGGGCAATATTGATAGGACTGTCATTCAGAATGCCCTGACCTACCCAAGCAATAGGCACAAGATCTAAGCTAGGTAAATTGCGCTCCATCTACTGAACATCAATTCTCAGACAAGAAAACAAAAAGATAAAAATGGTTAGAATTGACCAGACTGTCAGTTAGCTCCTGCTAAGGCATCTTGTCCCTTCTGAGCTGTTTTTAGTTGATTTTTCAATTCTGGGAGCTACTCCATAGCCTTCTAATGAAATCCAGTGTTTGCTTGTGCATTAGTTTCCTAGTGCTGCCATAACAAAATACCACAAACTGGGCATCTTAAAGCGATAGAAACTATTCTCTCACTGGAGAATTCTGGAGGCTAGAAGTCTGAAATCAAGGTGTTGGTAGCATTGGTTCCTTTTGGAAGCTCTGAGGGAGAGTCTGTTCCATGCCTCTCTCCAAGCTTTTGGTGGTTGCTGACAATCCTTGGCATTCCTTGGCTTGTAGATGCATTATTCCAATCTCTGCCTCTCTCTTCACATAGCCTTCTCTTCTTTGTGTTTGTGTCCAAATTTCCCTCTTATAAGAACACCAGCCATTTAGGGTACACCCTAATCTAGTATAACCTCTTTTTAACTTGACTACATTGCAAAGACCCTATTTCCAAATGAGGTCACATTCAGAGGTTCCAGGTAGACATGAATTTTGAGGCAGCACTATTCAACCCAGCACGCAACCAAAAACTCTCTGATCCACTTATGCTCCAAACCAGTATTGAGTGTGTTTTACGCATTACTTGCTTTAATCTTGACAACAACCCTTGAGGTGGACGCCTTTATTATCCTCATTTTAGAGGTGGAAAAGTGAAGATCCAAAGAATGTGTTCAAGGTCAAATGACCAGTAAGAGGCAGATTTAAGATTCAAGAAAAGGTTTATGTCTGATACAGACCTGTTCTTCTAACCACTACATTATATTCCAGGCTTTGCCCTACTCAGAAATGCATTGATGGCCCCCCAATCCCCAACTACAAGCTACGAAAGGAAATGGTCTAGTTCCCAATTTGGAGCTAGGTCTCCACACAGCTATTCTGCCTTCTCTGTACCTCAGTAACAGGTGACAACCAAAGTCAGAGAGAACCAGGAAGAATCCCAAGAGAATCAGAGAATGGCTGCCATAATTGTCTGGTCAAGTCCACATGGGTGGCCGTGGTAGAAGAACCCTGCTGAGCTCTGGGTCACACGGGCAAAGGGACAGGAAAGGGTAGGGTTTGGTGCTGGGCAGTCTCTTCTCTGTGAGGCCCGGGCAAACATTGAAGGCTCAAGCCTGGATGATGAGAGCACCAAAAAATGTTGTTAGAGCTTTTGCCTCAGCAAGACTCTCAGCTAAATAAGGACTTGGACCATGTAACAGCTCAGAGCTCTCTGACTGATCCATCCTGTGAGACTTTAGGGCAAATTCAGATCTTCCTAGAAGGCTGCAAAGGGTGAGGAAAGCCATGTTCTTCAAAAGTATTAGATCCAGGGGCTGCTGGATTGTGAACTTTAGTGACCCTCATCCATCAAAGGGGACCCCACCGAGTTGCTTCCTAGGGCTAGAGCATCAGGTCCTGGAAGGGGATACTGAAACTTGTACCAGAGATGGGTCAGAAAGTCCTAAGGTAAAAATAGAATCAATGTGCATTGAATCTTAAACCCCAGGGAAAATCATGTAGCTAGAGGACAGTGTTGTTGGTACTTCTTTATAGCTAAACCTGCGTCTGAAAAGATTTCAATCAATGAAGAGGGCTTCTTTTTGTGACTATTCTTATTGTTATAAGAGTACTACACATTCCTCATAGAAATACTACAGAGATAAGCCAAAAGAAAGTAAAAATTATTCATTAGCCTACCCTATGGAGACACCTGCTAGTAAACATTTGTATTTGTATCCGTCCGGGCCCTTTTCTAAATATGCCCCCCCCCCAAAATGGTGCCTAATGTGCACAGTTTTACAATATGCTTCTTTAACTTAAAAATGTATCCAAAACATCTTTTCATTCCATTAAATGTTATTCTACATGACTTTTCGTGGCTGTATAATAATTCATTGTACAGATGCTCCCACTGAACATTTAGGCTGTTTCAGATTGTTGCTGGAATAACCAATGCTGCAAAATTTAATGTTGCTGCTAAATCTTTGCACATGATTTATTTCCTTAGACTAAATGCCTAAAAATGTAATTACTGGGTCAAAAGCCATGTAACACTTGAGGTTCTTTTAATATGTATTGCTAAACCATCTGCCAGGAAGGTCGTACCAATTTATACTCCCACCAGCAGCAGATGAAGGAGCCCGTTTCATGTGTCTTTGCCAACAGTGGATTTTGTCATTTAAAAAAATCTTTGAAGTCATCACTAGTCTATAAAAGCACCCTCATGCCTGAAAAGCAAGATTTTTCCTGCATTTGAGTCACTAGAAGATTAGTCAGTTATTCTGAAACCATTTAATTTCTGTCCTTGTGCTTGTTGTAGCTTTTCTACCCACTGATGTCTTATGAAAGAAAATAGTAAAGAGGAACTTAAATGAAGAGGAAAAACATACAAATTCTCCTATCTCTGCAGACACTGAAGAGGCCGGTGCTCCAGTCCCCACCAGTCTGGACAACTGTTGTGATTGTAGTCCTGCCACTGGCTCCCCGGACAGGCTGCTTCACCACAGCCCGGGCTGGTACATGGCTCCTGGAGAGTCAAGGATGGTAATTAACTTGGAAACAAAGATGATTCAGAAGGATAACCACTAAGCCAATAGAGAGTGATAAAGAGATAGGGACCCAGTGATGCCAAGTGGCTCTTAATTCACAGCCCAAGCTGACCTCACCATCTCCCTCCCTCCTCCTTCCTCATACCTTCTCCTCTGACTTTTTGCCCTGTCTCTATTAACAACATTATTATTCCAAATTCTGTCACTGAAACTCAATGTCCAGTCTACTTCCTCAGTGTTTCATAATAGTTAAATTCACAAATTTGGAACCAAGAGGCCTCAGTTCAAATCCCAGCATGCCACATCCTGGAAGCTTGACCTTAGTTAGTTAGTTTAACCTCTCTGCTTCCTGTTTGTTCAAATATAAGATGAAAAAACTAACTCACGGGGTTATTGTGTCGATTGAAGGACATATAATTAGTTTACTGTGCCCAGAGAATGTGTAACAAGGTAACCCTGAGTGAAGCTATACCCCAAGGGTTTTGAACCTTTGTTGAAGAGACTAATAAGGAATGGGATTGAGTTGGTACATTGAAATCTGGACCAGGCTATTGAAATTGAGCATGCAGTATCATTTAAGAGAATAACCCAGACTTCAGAATATGTCTTGATATTAAACTGCTGTGTGATTGTCCTAGTGGGGCCATAAAATACAACTTTGGGTTGATTTTCCCTGAAGGGAACAGATATTCCACTTAATCATTCTGAAATAGGACATGTGGGCCCAGGGGATGGGTTTCAAAAGTGAGGTGAGGAAAAACTTCCTTCTCTTTCTGGGGCTGAAAGTCAATTTTGCCTACCTCCTACCACGGAGTGAGTCCCATAGTGAAGAGTAAGCTGTACCTGGCCTCATGGAAGCAGCAGGTCAAGAGTGGGGTAGAGGGGCCCTAGAATGAGTCTGAGCCTATACATAGTAGGAATTATTCTGTTTTGTGCTTCCCTTTTGGCAAGCCTCATTAAGTGTTTGCACCTGGTCTCTGGTGTACTATGAAAAATTAAAGAAAGAGCCTGCCTCATACTTGAGACAAAATAAACAAGAGGCAGCAGAGTTTCTTCCTGTAACAGCTATTGTTACAGTAATTGTCACCAATGTTCAGTACCTGAGACACATGGCCTGGAAGCCAGAGTGGCACATTCCTGAGCACCCTTGAGGCAACACCCTGGGGCATCTTGGAAATAGCTGGGGAGCCCTTTCAGTATGTCTGATTTTGGGCAATAAATCCAAAAGGATTTCATATTATCATAATATGGGGTCATTGTTCTTGTTATTAAGATCCACATCTCCTTTTCATTCCACCAATACTGTCCAAGTCCACACCTTCCAGAACCCGAGAGCACGTTAGCTTCTTTTTTGTGTGTGTGTGAAGAAGATCAGCCCTGAGCTAACATCCATGCTAATCCTCCTCTTTTTGCTGAGGGAGACCGGCTCTGAGCTAACATCTATTGCCAATCCTCCTCCATTTTTTTTTTCCCCAAAGCCCCAGTAGATAGTTGTATGTCATAGTTGTACATCCTTCTAGTTGCTGTATGTGGGACGTGGCCTCAGCATGGCCGGAGAAGTGGTGCGTCGGTGCGTGCCCGGGATCCGAACCCGGGCCGCCAGTAGCAGAGCGCACACACTTAACCGCTAAGCCACGGGGCCGGCCACATTAGCTTCTTAAAACAACAAATTCTCAAGCCTCACCCTAGACCACCTGCACAGGTCTCTAGGGATGAGGTAGAGAAATCAGGATTCATAACAACGTTCCCAGGCAATTTCTATGCAGTCATTGTGATACCAGCCTGAAACCTGATACAGGTGGATTTGGAGATCACTGATGATAACTACAATAGCTTCTGAGTCTCCCACTGGCTTGGTGGTGATGTCAGTGTAACAGAGACAGCAAGGAAAATAGAATACGAGGTAGGTTGGAAGGGAAGAGGATGCTCGGAACAGAGCCAGTGAGACATCAGGAGGATGCCCAGCAAACAGCTGGTAATACTGCACCAGAGCTTGGAAGAGAGGTCAGGGTTGGGAGCTACCTGTCTAGAAGTGTGACATGGAGCTATGAAACATCCCCAGCTCTTTTAGCCATTAGGCCTTATAAACAATGCTTAGGGGTCTAACAAGCTTTTCAAGAGCCTACAAAAGTGTTTGAGACATGGAAAAAAGTATTGGCTCCAAAATATAAAAACTGCAAAATAGAAACTAGTTAATGGGCAATTAAACACAAAAATCTAGCATTATGTCAATCTCATTAGTTGTCAAATTTAGAATTCACAAATATTTTATTACATATGAAAACAATGTATAATTCTCTCATTTTGCAAAAAATCCCAAGTATAAATGATAAGCAACAGCCAATCATAAATTAATTATTCATAGCCAAATAATTTCAAAAGCAAGATTATAAAAATCTTTTCACTTATTGTACAGCAAAAAAAGATATGGATATAATGTATGGTATGAGTACATTTTAATATACTTGTTATGATGTGGGTTAGGGCCTATTGCTATGGACTGTGGACTGAATTGTGTCCCCCCAAATTCATATGTTGAAGCCCTGGCCCCACTGTGACTGCATTTGGAGATAGGGCTTTTAGGAGGTAATTTAGGTTAAATGAGGAATGGTGGGGTGGATCCTGGTCCAATAGCAGTGCTGACCTTATAAGAAGAGAAAAGACTATGTAAGCACACAGCTTGAAGGCTGCAAGCCAAGAAGAGTCCTCACCAGAACCCGGCCATGCTGGCACCCTGATCGTGGACTTCCATCCTCCAGAACCATGAGAAAATAAATTTCTGTCCTTTAAGTCACCCAGTCTATGGTACTGTGTTATGGAAGCCCAAGCAGACTAAGACACCTATAAAGATTTCAAACTGGCCCTGAAGAAACTACCTTTATATATAACTTATCTCCTCCACTTCTATGTGAGCTCCTTGAGGTCAGGAGGCACATTGCTTCTCCCTGTATCCCCCAGATCCAACATACTACCTTGAAACCTAGTGGGTGCGTGATATTTGTTAAATTGGATCAAACTGAATTCACGTCTCTTCCATTATATTTGAGTCCTCCTCAAATCTAGCTATAAATTATGGGAGCTTCACTGTTTCACTCCCTAGTAAAGGCACAATTCTCAGGTGTGAAATAAAAGCAGAGTAGCCTAAAAGCTTCCTGCATCCCTCCACACAAACCAAGGCATCTATCTCGCGATGTGATGCCTACAAGCTGGGACTTGCATCATTATACTAAGAGCTTCCAATTATCTCTGATTTTAGTAGAGGAATTTCTTAGGGCTGAGCCCCTGGATTAGATTTTCTCCTGAAATGAACCATTTATAGCTTGCAGCCCTAGAATAGAATTTCCTGGTTTTATCTCAGCATTATGTGCATAACACCTTTTATTATGGCAAGGAAGTCTGTCCTCTATCTATTCCAAATCAAATAACTAGAGGATGGCTCTTCCTTGGTGGGAAAAAAAGTTGTTTTTTGTGTGTTTGCCTAATTTTAAACTCAAGAAGTACATTATTGAGTTTCTTTCCTTAATACCCTAAATCTTTGAATTGACATACATTGGCTAAAACATTTCACTTCAAGATTATAGCTCAGACGTCATAATTAAAATAACAAGCATAGCTACCCTTCACTGAGCACCTTCTATGTGTCTGGAACTTAGTAGTTCCTTTAAGAACTGAGTCATTCTTCAGTGGCTGTTACAGGTATCAGACTAAAGTAGCTATTGTAGCTGCCTGCACAGCCTTTAGCTCTGTATACTACCCCAGGGAATCTTCTACTACCATTAAGAATAGGAATGAGTTTGGAAACAGTGGGTGAAGCTGATGGTCATAGAGCTTTGCTAAATTAGAGCAGCTGTCCATCTGCCATCAAATTCAGCAAGTTCTTCATTTAGTGGAAAGAGGACAGATTTTAGATTCAGGCACACTGAAGTTCAAGTGCGGCTCAGTTGCATTCTAGTTGTTTGACCTTTGGCTATACAACTTGCCACAGCTCTCAGCTCTGTCTCCTCTTCCACAAAGTTGGATTTAAAATATCCTACCTCCACATTGCCATGAGGATTAAACAAGATCATGCTTGGCACATAGTAGGCATGCAGTCAATGGCAGCTGTTGTTATTACTCTAACTTAAGGATCCCACACATACCCTAGGGCATTCTGTACACTTCTGAGAAACAAAGATGGAGGAAGGAGATCTGGGGCAGTTTCTCCGTTGTCATATGTGCTACCCAAATACCGTAAAATTCAATCAGGGTGACCAATCACCCCAGTTTTCCCAGGACTAAGAGTTTTCCCAGGATGGAGAACCTTCAGTGCTAAAATCAGGACAGTCCCAGGCAAACCAGGAGCATTGGTCACCCTAACAGACAGAAGCAGATGGAGGCTTCCACTGGTGGGAGGCAGGAGGCTGACTCCTGTCATTCTGGTTATCTGCTCCTACTAAGTGTTAGGAGATGGATGAGATACACATCCTTCCTCCTTTTTGACCTCACTCTATCCTTCTCCTCTTCTAGCAGCTACGCACATTCCCCACTGCATGTCCCCACACACCTGGCTTCAGCTTACGGGGTGTCATGTCACTCTCTTCCTTAATGAAACTTGCAGTACTCAGAGTTCATTCTGCCTTCCACTTGGGCTGCCTTGATTACTTCAAACTCTTTTAACTGAAGCCAAAATCCTTGAGTTTTGATTTCAAAAGGTTAGAAATTACTGGCAGCCCCCAGAAATAAAGCTTCACTTGGTCAGGGTTGAACATTTTAAGTTAAGAATAAAGAAACACCCTTTCACCAAGCCAGCTCTTCTCTTTTCACCAGCCAAGCAAGCCAGAAGGAACTAATCAGTTGCCCTCTTTTCAAGTACACATGGGAAATGATAGCAACTACTTTCTTCCCAAGCCTAGTTTTCTTTTCCCTGGCTCCTCATAAGAAGACACTGATTTGATATTCCAACCCAAGAGCAAAAGCTGGGGGGAAAAAAATCACCGTACTTCCTACCTCACGTTGGAAATAAAATGTTGTTCATCTTCAGATGCTATGAGTGAAAGCAACAGAGGTGAATGTATGTTGAGTAAGGAAACATCCTCAGGAAATTTAGACAAGTAATTTCGAAACCAATTCATAGTGAGAGGTGTTTTCTTGTCACTGGGACTATCCTTTTCCCTTTGACAATAAGCCGACTGATTCTAAATTTAGGTTCAATCCAAAGTGAAACATCTCTTCTAAAGAATGTTGCCTAATATTCTGGAACCTGAGGTCACAGCAGTGTAACTGACAGACATCTTATTTCTTTAAAATCAGGTACACATCTAACTGTGGGCATGTCAATCTTACTAATCTGAAGGAAGAGACTGCCGAAGATATAGTGTAAGTTAAAAAAAGGATCTTATCTTTGGTGGGAAAATCCCTTTGCTTTAGGAGATACCTCTAGTAAACACTCTAGCTAAGTGTCACTTGACCTTTTCCCAGGGGACTCAAAAGCCTACAGATTTAAAGGCTACAGATTTCTGCCATGCCACGTAGCTGAGAAGTAGTGGGGGCCTCTTGTCATCCCCAGGCCTGATGGTCCAATTCAGCAAGATGATGAGTCCCAGAACTAACCTGAAGCAGGGACAGAAAGCTTTTTCAGCCCAGATGTTGTGCTTGAATCCATCTCATGCAAATGGTCTCCGAAAGTTTGAGCTATGCCAGGCTGTCCCAAGCCTCTCAGGCTTTTTAGAACTTCTAGCAATCTCCTTCTCTTCCATGGACTTCATTGATCATGCCAGGAATGTGATGCTGCTTCTTTCCTACCCAGCCCAAACAGAATCTAGTGACCAAAGCAGGGCTTGGCTGGTGATTGCCTCCCTAGTGCTCTGAATCTTCAGGGTATTAGAAGCCTCTGAAGTATGCCTCTAGGGCACGCCTTACAGAGGGAGGTATGGACCCCAGAAACACTGGGAAAATGTCGTTAGAGGAAAAAACATTAGAAAAAAATTGCACATTGAGGGAAGGGATCAGTCATCATAATTCAGTGTTACCTTAGAAAGACAACAGAAGGAAACTGTCAACTATACCACACATTCTTCTCATCAGACCCATAGAGAATGACTGTTTAGGGTTCTGAACTTCAAAGCATTTACTTGAGCAGGGTTGTTAGCAAAAGCCTATATAATACCTCCCAAATCAAGATTCTTTGGCTATAGCTGCATAATTGCCTTCACTCAGTGGGTTCTGGACAACTCTCACTGTCTTAACTCTAAGAATGCGTCCTACATGAAGGACAGCCATGTTTCTTCTGCTCACCACTCGATTCCACGTGCTTAACACAGTGTCTGAAACTTAATAAGTATTCAATTGTTGAAGAATTCGTCTATATATGAAAATTCAAGCTTATAAAATAATAGAAATTAAGAGGTGATTACTAGTTTGCAAAAAGATTTACAATAAGATTCCTTTGAAGAGTGAAGAACCATGGTACATGTAAGCTGATTCCCTATTTTAAAATTTCATTTGTACCCAACTTTTCTAGTCAAACATTTATTATATGAAATGATTAATCCACATGCCACATAGCTCTTTCATCTAAAAATAAAATACATGAAAAAGAGAAAGAAGAAAAAGGGATGTTCTTCTTTAAAGAAGAATGACACAACTATTTTGAAAAACAAATGATAGTATTAAAAAACCACAATTTTGCATAGCCCCCAACATAACTTGTTCAGGAAAGGATCTTCAAGGGGTACTAAAACCATTAGGTATAAAAGATTGGGAACAGGACATTCCCAAGGTGTCAAAATATCACTCCACAGATTTCTAGTTGCAAAAGAAATAATGTATCTTAACTCTGGAGAGTTCCAGAAATTCTCAAAAGGTATCTTTACAATGGAAAGTTCTGAGCCATTTTTATAAAAAGCATCTTTACAACAAAAGCTCTGGAAGTGATTTACATATATATATCTTTATAATGGAAAGTTCTGGAAGTGATCAAAATGTATGTTTAAAATGGAGAGTTTTGGAAATTATCAAATTTAGTATCACTAAGAGCAGGACAAAGTGATATTATGTACCTCTTGATATGATACAATAGGAAGTAACATTTAACCTAAATTTCATTCTGTCTCTAGACCACACTGTCCAACAGAAATATAATGTGAGCCACACATACAATTTTAAATTTTCTAGTAGCCATGTTTAAAAAAAGTAAAAAGAAACAGATGAAATTAATTTCAATATACTTTAACCTAATTTACTCAAAATATTATTTTAACATGTAATCAACATAAAAGAAAATTGAGATATTTTATACTCTCCTTGTCATACGAAGTCTTTGAAATCTGAAGTGTATTCTACACTTTTACAGCACACCTCAATTCAGACTAGCCACATTTCAAGTGCTCTATAGACACATGCGGTTAGTGGCTAAATTATTGGGCAGCACAGCTCTAGACCTAACTCCAGGTTAAAGAAAACAAGGGATAGAAGAACAAATCACCACCTATTCCTCCAAAGTGAAAATGCAGTAAGTGCTCCTTTGTCACATTCCTTAAGCCCAAGGAGCAAGGATCATGTCCTATCCTGTTTGTTTTTCGTGTGTAAGTGTTTTTTCTCACCTTATAAGCTATTATGCTCTAAGCACAGCAGTGGGCAATTAGAAAGCTTAATTGATGCTGCAAGTCCTGGGTAACATCTGAGTATTTTTTAATACATATGTGAAGTTACATCCAAAGATATTAAGGAGAGAAAACAGTTTAACAAAGTATAGCTAACACTGAGAACCCACCAGAGCAAGGTACATAGTCATCAGAATGACTGAATGAATCTTTCAAGAGAAAAACAGATGGACACAACTACCACAAACTATAGAAGAAATGAAGGAACATATCATCTCATTCCCACTTCAAAAATTTGCGGTGACTCTCCAGACAATTAAATCAACTTCGATTTTCATCCTGGAATCCCAGAATCTTTATAATAAGGCTCAATTTACTTACTTGTTTCATTTTTCTCTCATTCCTTCCAGGTAAACATTCCATTCCTGGCATCATCTCCCAAACAAGCCAGGCATTTGTTTTCACCTCCAAGCCCTTACCCACACAGTTCTAAAAGCTAGGAATGTGGCCCTGCTCTCCTTCAATCGCTACTCCAATCCTAACCATCCTTCACGTCCCACCTCATCTGTGAAGTCTTATCTGACTCTGGTCCATGTAAACTTCTCCCCCCTCTGACCCAATAGCCCTGACAACACTGGCCTTGGTCAAATACGTTCCTGCTTTCCATGTATGCATTCCTTGTTTAATAAGTGTGCTGCAATGGACTAGAAATATGGAGGCCAGGGCTCTAATCCAGCTCTGCCTCTAGTGTATAGGATCTTGGGCAGGTCAGTTTTCATCTCTAGACCCGTTTCTTCATGTGGCCTCTTTGCTATTCCTTCAGCAGACCAGCTACATGCCCCTGCCTCAGAGCCTTTATGCCTGCTGTAGCCTCTGCCTAAAATGTTTTTTAGCCCAGATTATCTGCTAACAAAACTACATATGGGGGCCGGCCCCGTGGCTTAGTGGTTACGTGCGCGCGCTCCGCTACTGGCAGCCCGGGGTTCGGATCCTGGGAGCGCACCTACGCACCGCTTCTCCGGCCATGCTGAGGCCGGGTCCCACATACAGCAACTAGAAGGATGTGCAACTTTGACAAACAACTATCTACTGGGGCTTTGGGGAAAAAAAAAGGAGAAGGATTGGCAATAGATGTTAGCTCAGAGCCAGTCTTCCTCAGCAAAAAAAAGAGGAGGATTAGCACGGATGTTAGCTCAGGGCTGATCTTCCTCACAAAAAAAACAAAACAAAACAAAACAAAAAACTACACATGCATTTACCCTTGGACCCACAAGCCCACTTTGGGAAATTTACTCTTAAGATATTCCTCCACAAATATAAAACCACATATTCACAAAGTTATTCACTATATAATTCTATACAGATTCTATAAAATATCAAAAACTTAGAAGCAACCTAAATGTCCATCCACAGGAGACTAGTTCAATAAATATGGTACATCTTTACAACAGTATTACACAAAGGGGATGAGAGGAGGAACAGAAGGGGGGAAGGGAGGAAAAAGGAGGAAAAAGAAAAAGATCTTTATGAACTAAAGTGAAAAAATATCCAGGTTATGTCATTAACTTAAAAAAGCAAGGTGTAAAATAATTATATATAACATACTTTTTGTATGAGAAAGGAGAAATTAAAATACATATAAATATTTTCTTATTTTTGAACAAAAAAACATAGGAAAGATAACACAGAAACTAATGAAAATGGTTAGCTATATAGAGCATGAGAATGTGGTGCAAGAGAGTAAAAATTCTCTGAATATAGTTTTTACTTTTGAACCCTGTAAGTACTATACTTACTCAAAAAATAAGTAAAAAGGAAAAAAGCAAACCATAAAATTCAATAAAAAGAAAAGCAAATGACTCTAACTCTCTATTAAACCACCAACGACAAAGAATTCATTCAAGCAACACTGGAACACAGTGCTCTGACGTAGTGAGACACGTTTTAAGGACACAAAGAACTGCAAAAAATAAAAAATTTGAACTCTATTAGTAGATTTGTTGTTAACTGTAGTATTGAACTGGTAATTCTGAAATTACTGATAGGCCAAATAAGTAAACATATTGAGGTTCTTGGGAACCAGAGTTCTCACTGTACGAGAAGGAAGATACAAATATTTAAGGGGGAGATGGCAAGAAAGAACTGTGGTATTAGATAAAATCATGATTTAAAATATATACATATGTCTTAGCTCACCCCATTGGAAAGGCCTACAAACAGCGACACTTTAGTAGCAATGGGCATACAAAACACCAAGATCTTGGCTTCTTAATACCATTCTCCAGTAAAACGAAGCAGAGCTCCTTGGAGAAAAAAACTGATTCCAGTTCTGGGACAGGAAAATATAAGGTGAGCTGGGACCTTCTTCTTGTTCCATTAAGCAATGAAATGTTACAAGGCTGTAGAGGAGATATCAAAAAGACACAAGAAACAGCTTGAATGGCGCTCCCACTAGATAATTTAGGGAAATTTGAGCAGTCAAAGCATAATGATGGTAATAGATTATAGCATATATGAAAAAAGAACGCATCAGTCTACAATGATTTGAAAAGAATGATGAAAGAAAAAAATTGGGAGTGAAGGCGAAACCTCTTCTTCACAAAAG